GAAAGTTCAGGGTGTGATAGGTAACAAAAAGTAAAGAACTCACATTCAGGAGAGCTATGGCCAGCTCTGGTGTGGATTGCGTACAGCGGTATAATCCCCGCTTATGGGATATGTAGGGAGGGGTCTCCGTCAGCACCGTCTGGTAGTCCAGAGCTCGAAAAAGAAAGACAGAAAGCAACAATAGTGCTCTCAATTTTGATGTGGTTCAATGTGCAGATAAGAAGAGGTAAAAAACTCACATTTGAGGGAGCTATGGCCAGCTCTGGTGTGGATAGCGTACAGCGGTATAATCCCCGCTTATAGGATATGTAGCGGCGATACGTCCGTCAGCACCGTCTGGTGATCCAAGGCTCCAATATAGAAGAATAAAAAGCAGCAATAGTGCTCTCAATTGTGATAGGTTAAGAGAGTAGTAGAGAAAATAAAATAATACTCACAAAGATAGAGCAGAGGTACTGCTCTATGGATAGGCGCCGGTGGTATGATCCCCACCTAGGATTTCTTGGAGTACTGGAACTTTAAAATTGCCAATGGAAGTAAAAGTAACCAGGAAAGGTTAAAATGCCAGGAATAGGTAAAAACAAAAGTTGTTTAAAGTGCATAAAGAGTGCAATAAAAAGAGGATTGGTACAATAAAGTAGCCAAAAAACTTTTATTGATCTAAAATACACAGTAAAATACAGAATTAATAACCATAAACGCGTTTCACCGTAAGTGGCTTCTTCAGAATGGGATCAGTCATTAGCTGCACAGCTACAACTTGTTTTACAACGTTTTCTTGATGCTGGTCTAAAACTTAAAAAAGAAAAGTGTGTTTTTGGTGTAAGTGTCAGGATTACAGAATGATCCAGCACCGGAATTGTGTAATACAGAGGACTGATAGGTAACGTATACCGGACCTTAGAATGGCCGGACTAATGTACCAAAGAATAGTCAGGAATAGCAGGAATAGCCAAGGTCAAGGGATACAGAAAGAGACACAATGATAAGGAAAAGCCAGGAGTCAGGGATGCCAGAAAAATGGGAAGTCAAAAACAATGCCAAAGTCAAATAACCAGAATAACCAAAATAAATAATGCCCTCTCGGACAACCACAAGGGAAACCATGACAGGGCACTGAGCAGGATGAGAACTGCGCCTAAATACCCCTCCTTTAGATCTGATAGGCTGTAACCGGCCTTTGACCCCAAAAGCAGTTACCAGGTTCTCGTTTGCATAATTGCTGCTCAGCATTAACCCTTCCGTGGATTTGGTTGCTCGGCACAACTTTGCATGTGTTGACAGTAAATTCCATTAACAACATATTTATAAGCGGATGAATACATGACAGTAAGCAGCGTGGATTTCCTTGGTTATTGAGTTGATGCACAGGGCATTCATCCAACTGATTCTAAGGTTGAGGATATCCATAGAGCTCCGTTTCCAACAAACAAACTGCAAGCTTTCCTAGGGTTGCTTAATTTTTACCATTCTTTCCTGCCTGATAAAGCCACTGTTGCTGATCCTCTGCATCGTCTACTAGATAAAGATGCTCCATGGAAGTGGACTGACGTTCATACTACCAGCGCTTCACTGGGTCTGGATCTGTTCACCAGAAATACTCCCACTCCTCAAATTATTTCACCACGCATGCTCAGGTGGTCCCTTATGCTGAATGCAAGTATCGTCCGGGCAAGGATATCACACATTGATAGACACTGCATCACTTCCGGTGTGACACGTGCGTGTCACAGTGGCTAACAGGAAATTAGCCACATCAGGAAGTAATCTACACCAGGAAGTACATTAATAGACTACCTATATAAAGGACACATTGAAGGACCTTTCCTACACTTCTGAAGAAGCCTGTGATAAGCGAAACACATTAAGTGGGACCTTTTGTTATTACCTGATATTTTTTTTATTGTTTTGGATTAATAAATAGTGTATTTTAAAAGTATATACCTATTTTTTATCCACCATTTTACTTCCTGGTTTCATCATATCCCTAGGTGGGGATCATACCACCCAAGCTGTTCATACTAGAACAAGTTTCTGCTCTAGAAAATGTGAGTACTATACTTTTATTTTATTCTTTTATTTGATTGGTACATACTTCACCATTGGAGTTTTTTCCTGTTTTTATATTCATTGCATATTGCACCACATTGGAAATATTGAAGACACCTGTAGCTGCATATATCCTTAGACGGGGATTGTTCCATACAGGCAAAATACGATAGAGCTCCCAGTTAGCTCTACTAAATGTGAGTGTGAATATATATAATTACCTCAGCACTTTACCCACTAAATATTTCATATTGCACTATTGTATTTCCCTCTGTTTTATTTTTTGATGTCAACTGTGTATACAATCTCTCAAGTGATTCGTGCACTTATATAATTGTAATATTCTATAATTCTCATTTGAGGCGCAGTCTCCTCCACCTTTTTTGCTACCTTTCTCTTACAAGGCTGGGAATCCTTGTGTTGGTTACTGCTGCCTACTATCATCTTGTGTTTATACTGTAGCGAGCACCTATCACATCTTTTTAACTTTTTAGCTATGTCTGAGGTCCTCATGTTGGAATCCATTCCAAACCCTCCATTACATGCAAGTGACATTGCTTGTATGTCTGCCAAGGATCCTTTGCTGTCCCGTGTGCTCAACTGGGTTTGGATCGGGTGGCCAAAATCAAAAGTGGAAGACAAGTTCAAACCATTTGTAGTGCGCCAACATGAATTATCTGCCTATAAAGGGTGCCTATTATGGGGAAACAAATGCAGGACAAGCTTGAGTATTGCATGCTCTCCATGAAGGACATCCTGGAATAGTTTGCATGAAAGCTTTAGCTAGAAGTTATGTTTGGTGGCCTAAAATGGATGAAGTTATTGAAAAGTGGGTGAAGAACTGTGTACCATGTCAATACACTCATCATGCTCCACCTAAAGCCTCAATACATCCTTGGGAAGTGACTAGGTCACCTTGGTCCTATTTACATATAGATTTTGCTGGCCCTTTTCATGGACAGATTTTTTTTAGTTGTTGACTCCTTTTAAAAATCTTTAGAAGTTGTTCCAGTTACATCTGCTACCTCAGTCACAGTCATAAAGATTCTAAGGAGGCTGTTTGCTACACATGGGTTGCCAGATACAAATGTGTCTGATAATGGTACACAATTTACCTCATCAGAATTCAAAATTTTTATGGCAAGTAATCCGACATGTTACGATTGCACCATTTCACCCATCATCAAATGGTAAAGCTGAGCGTATGGTTCAGACTACCAAAGACTCATTAAAAAGAATTATTGAAGGAGATTGGAATCATAGACTTGCAAATTTCTTTCTGCAACAACATGTGACACCATGCTCAAGCACTGGTACTAGTCCAGCAGAGCTCCTTAAGAACCGGCGTCTTAAAACATGTTTGGATCGTTTACATTCTGATTTGACATCTGAGTTACAAGAGAAGCAAGAATTTAAATTCAAGAACTATAATGCTGACATACTGTCTATGTCTTTGTCAGGAACTATGTTTCTGGGCCTAAATGGATACCTGCAAAAGTACTTGTGGCCACAGGATCTTTGTCATACAAAGTACAAATTCCTGATGGTAGAATATTACGAAGGCATGTCGATCAGATTCAGGAATGGAGTGATGAGATTGTGCCTTTTGCCGGTCCCAGTCATACCGGGTTTTCTGTGATACCAAATAATGTTGAACCACTGGATGATACAGGTCTCAGTTCTCCAGGAGTTGCTGTTGCAGAACCAGTTCCTTGTGGTCTATCTGACAGAGCACAGGAAGAAGGGATGGGCACAACTGAAGGTCCAGGGGAAGCAGCTCCAAACATGGTTTTGGGGCGCCCAAGAAGAAATATTCACCCTCCCAGTTATCTCAAAGACTTTGAGGTCTAGGGGGGAGGAGTGTTATCTATTGGGGTGTTATGCAGTCCACCTTCCAGTACATGGCAGCATAGTGAAGTTATGCACTTGTTCTGTTGTGTCAGTGTCTCTTGTGTTATGTTATTACGTGTGTGTGCTGAAGTAAATAGAAGAGCTATTTACTACAATATCTAAGAGCCATTTGTGAATATATAACATGCAAATACATTAAAAGAAAACCTTCAGACTCTCATGTCTTTGACCTGTTTTATTTCATATTATTAAGAGAGCATTTATATTGTCTGTCTATTTTTTGTATTCTAATCTGCTTTGACCTTATTTATTTTGTCTTCTGGTGCCCCTGACTTCTCTGGCTGGCTTCTCAGATCTTCGAATTCTATACCCATTTGAACTTGGCTTGTTCTTTACTAACACATCTCTTGCAGGTTTGCTATTTCAATTCTCTATACACTTCACGTTAAATATTTCTTTCCATATCTCTCACCTTTTTTCAGCATCTTGATGTTTGTTGCAGTTTAACTTAATGTTTTTCAAATTGCACTATTTAAGTTCTATCCTTATGTATTATTGATCTTCTACATATGTAATTGCCTGTTCGATTGCATCTACTTGTAAGCAGATTATGAAAGTTTAATTTACTTATTTTTCAGTAAAAATATGCTCCACAATAAAAAAAATCTGGCCATTTTAACATGCATCTATTCTGTACTTTCTATTCTGTTAGGAAATTACTTAGATTCTAGTCCTGCGTGCTTGGTTAATATAGCTATAAACCAATAAAGTTTAAATACCTTAAATAAATAATTGCAAGACTAAAAATAAAATGCAACAACCAGTAAAAGTCCTGGAAAAAATTAAAATAATATCAAACACCATAAAATAGTGCGCACAAATTATTCAAATTTAGGTATAAAAAACACAACAGTGATATCATATATATATATATATATATATATATATATATATATAACGAAAAAAGTAATACCTGCACTCCAACCTTAAAAATATATAAATACCTGGTGCTCTGGTTGCAAAATTAATAAGTCCAAAAAATAACCGGCACTCACGGTTTTCTCAATTAGTATCTCTCTTATTCCAAATTCAATATCGACATTTCAGCTCCTCAAGGAGCTTTCATCAGGACATAAAAATCTTTTTATGTCCTGATGAAAGCTCCTTGAGGAGCTGAAACGTCGATATTGAATTTGGAATAAGAGAGATACTAATTGAGAAAACCGTGAGTGCCGGTTATTTTTTGGACTTTTATATATATATATATATATATATATATATATATATATATATATTAAAAACTGTCACATGCACATAAAAATATATATTTTTAAAAAAGTGTTACTGACTGTGAAGTGAACAAATCACACACGTGTTAGAATTATACAATTCTAGCAAATAGCATTAGAATTCTTAAAGCGGCACTGTCACGCCGAACTTACCTTTCCCCAATCGCTTCCTCTTCTCCCCCTTCTAAGGATCTGTTCTTCTTTTCTTCCTATCTGATCTAGTTTTCTTTAAAACATAAGACAAAGTAGGGCCTGACCCTAAATTACAATGGGGGGAAGAACTATTGATTCCCCCTCCCCGGCCCCCACCTATGAGCGGCGGATGGGGGCCCTAAATTACAATGGGGTGCTTATTGTCATCCCCCCAGCCCATCCCTTTGAGTAGTGGGTGGGGGTCCTAAATGACAATAGGGGGGTATCCAAGCCCCTAGTCAGCTTTCCCTCACCATCCCGAAAAATAAAATAAAGCCCTACCTACCGCCCTTACCCTAAAAATAGTGAGGGGGTACAATAAAACTAAATACCTGTAAATTAAAAAAAAATACTTACCTTCTTTTTTCAGTCCCAAAAAAGGCCAAATTAAAATCCATAAAGCCTGTCGAATTTATAAAATAAAAAAGTGACCCGAGCGCATAAAAAAGACACACACAAAAAAAATCCCTACGCTAAAATAAAGAATCCATCTTCACCCAGTAAGGGCACTACATAGACTGAGCTCCACAGGGTGGGGAAAGGTTTATAAAGCCATCCCATGCCCTGCAGTTTGATTCAGAGCGCTCTGATTGGTTGGTTTAAGCCAACCAATGAGAGTGCTCTAAAAGGTAAATAGTGAGCCAATCAGGTAAGATAATAGGTCCTCCCTATTGTTCTGTCATTTAGCCCCCCACCCATCACTCATGGGTGGGGTGGCCAGGGCAGGGGGACAATAGGTCCCCCCTATTATTATTTAGGGGCCCCAACCACTTCTCTGACGAATGAATAAACGAAATTCCCGTCCGAATTTTGGACAATAGGGAAGGCCCAAGTGTTTAACTGGGTATGCGCGGGAATTTCACAGGGCTATCTAGTGTGGACAGAGGAATAATCCAGATTAGTGTATACAGAATCAATATTTTCCAATCTGAGAAATACAAAAAAAACTACAAGATAGACTAGTGGAACACTATAAAAATATCCCAAAACTCAGAAGGATATCTAACGAACCAGCACTCACAAGTAAAGAGTGGATAGAGTACCACTCAGAACTATTTAGCTTTGGGAGGATCAGACCCTTGGGAGCGTGGGATCCAATCCGTCTGTATACACCATTTGCAGACCAGGTCTATTTTAAAAATCTTTATTACTTCAGAAATTAAAAGAGGTGAAATATCCAGGGAATATGAGTCTCTCTAGGGCAGGGGTTCTCAACCCAGTCCTCAGGACCCCCTACCAGTCCAGGATTCGGGGATTACCTGGGTGTGTCTCAGGTGTTTAGAAAAAGGGAAAAAACACCTTAGACTCTAAGGTGTTTTTTTTTTCTTTTTCTAAACACCTTAGACACACCCAGGTAATCCCTAAACCCTGGACTGGTAGGGGGTCCTGAGGACTAATGTTGAGAACCCCTGCTCTAGGGGAATAAATATCTCAGTTTCCGCTGTCTTTAGTGCTCCCTCCTGCGAGTTGCTTTCGTCAAACTTGCTTCTGTGTCCTGCACGTGACACAACGCGTCACCCTGATTCCTCTCCATTACAACAGGGCTGTGGACCCCTCAGGCTTGAATCAACAAATGACTTCTTATGAAGAATAGATTAAAAATCTGGACCATTGCATGGTCCAGTTCACACAAGATTTGTAATCTTTGCTTCACCATATAGCCAGTTTGAAGCCTGAGGCACACTCCGTTACCGTTGCTGCCAAAATTGAGGTAGAGACAGCCACAGGCACTTCTACAGGGTCCCTGTAATACAGAAGATACTCTTCAGACTTTAAAGGGTTTCTGAATTGGAATAAAAACAAAGAATATGAGAACTCTGAAAATGGATAAAGCTTAGGGAAACTAAAAAGCTTGTAGTTCGGTAAATCCCCGCTGAGGTCTCAATAATAGTTCATGCTTATTTTTGCCATAACAAAGTAAACTTATTACATTGCATATCAGACTCATCCCACCCATGAGGGCATCCAGAACTGAAATGCCCACAGCTGTCTTCAACGCGGGGCAAATGGGGCAGCTCCCCCGGGCCCAGCTGCCCTGTGACCCCGCTGCCCGCATTAAAGAATAAAAAGATTTCCCTAATGGGCCCGCGGTGCTGGTATTGCGGCTGCACCGGAACCCGCACACTAAGGGGGCCCACCAGGTGGCTTATATACTTAGGGCCACCTGGTGAGCATGTTTCAGCAGGGGTCCGGTTGGTCCTGTGGCCCTTTAACAGCGCGATCGGGCCCCTTGCTTAACGGCTGCATGGGAGGAAGTGACAACCGCAAATCACTTCCTCCCAACTCAAATATGATGAGCCGCGCGGGAGGCTGAGCCAGGAACCAGTGAGGAGGGGGAGCAAGGAGAGCCAGACCCCCGACTACCAACCACCCCAGCCAGCACACTGGACCCCAGGGAAGGTAGCCTCTTGCAAGGGTAGGAAACTGGAGAGTGTCTGTCTGTGTGTGTGGGCCAGTATGTATGTCTCTGTGTGTGTCAGTATGTCCGTCTGTGTGTGTGCCAGTATGTGTGTCTGTGTGTCAGTATGTATGTCTGTGTGTGTGCCAGTATGTTTGTCTGTGTGTCAGTATATCTGTGTGTGTGTCAGTATGTATGTCTGTGTGTGTGCCAGTATGTCTGTGTGTGTCAGTTTGTATGTCTGTGTGTGTGCCAGTATGTCTGTGTGTGTGTCAGTATGTATGTGTGTGTGTGTCAGTATGTATGTCAGTATGTGTCTGGTTGTGTCAGTATGTGTCTGTGTGTCTGTATGTCTGTCACAGTGTGTCTGTGTGTGTCAGTATATCTGTTTGTGTGTGTCAGTGTGTGTGCGTGTCAGTTTGTGTATATAGCCAATGTGTTTATCTGCATGTGTGTCAGTGTATGTCTATGTATCTGCATGTATGTCAGTGTTTGTATCTGCATTTGTCAGGTTATGTATTTGTATGTCTGTATGTTGTCATTGTGTGTGTCTGTGTATCTGTATGTTGTGTGTGCATCTGTGTGTCTGCATCTGTGTGTCTGCATGTGTGTGTCAGTGTGTGTAAATGTGTCTCTATAGCTGCATCTATATGATTGTGTATATCTGTGTATCTGCAAGTGTTTCTGTGTGTGTGTGTGTGTGTGTGTGCATCTGTGTGTGTATGTGTATCACAGTGTGTGTGTGTGTTTGTGGCAGTGCATGTGTGTGCATACATCTCAGCATTCAAACGCCAACACTACACGCAAATACACATCTGTATTCAAACTTCAACACTACATATAAACACACCTCTTTTTTTAAACAACAAACACAAACTTACTCCATACAAAAACATGCTTACACTCAAACACACAAATACTGATCAGTGCTTAATACAACCTTGCATGCATGGGAAAATGGTAGAGCCCCGGCTGTCAAAGCATTGTTAGAGTTGCATGACCAAAATAATGCACCAGAGCCCTCGCTACTTTACGTCCGCCTCCGCCGTGGGGGTCTTGATTGCATGCCAGGGAAGGGACGACAGGATCCAGGGGGCCCAAGTGTGTGTTTGTGTAGTGTGTGTAGTGGATACAATGTGTTTAGACAGGGGAGCTGTGTAGTGTGTGTAGTGGATGCAGTGTGTGTTTGTGCAGTGTGTGTGTAGTGGATGCAGTGTGTGTTTGTGCAGTGTGTGTGTAGTAGATGCAGTGTGTGTTTGTGTAGTGTGTGTGTAGTGGATGCAGTGTGTGTGTAGTGGATGCAGTGTGTATTTGTGTAGTGTGTGTGTAGTGGATGCAATGTGTGTTTGTGTAGTGGATGCAGTGTGTATTTGTGTAGTGTGTGTCGTGGATGCAGTGTGTATTTGTGTAGTGTGTATATAATGAATGCAGAGTGTTTGTGTACTGTGTATAGTGAATGCAGTGTGTGGGTAGTGTGCGTAAAGTGAATGCTGTGTGTTTGTGTAGTGTGCGTGTATATACTAAATGCAAAGTGTGTGTGTTTGTGTAGTGTGTGTATATAATGAATGCAGAGTGTGTGTTTGTGTAGTGTGTGTATAGTGAATGCAGTGTGTTTATATAAAGCAGTGTGTGTTTGTATAGTGTGTGTATATAATGCAATGTGTTTGTGTAGTGTGCATTGTATAAACACACTGCACAAACACACTACATTATATACACACATACTACACAAACACACACACTGCATTATATAAACACACTGCATTATATACACAGTGTGTTTGTGTAGTGTGTTTATGTCATGCAGTGTGTTTGTGTAGTGAATGTGTATATAATGGAGTGTGTGTGTGTGTGTGTTTCTGTAGGTATGTAATTGAGGGGGCATTTTTTATAAAAATATATTATTATTTTTTGAGATATTTAATTATTATTTATTTTTTTGTCCCCTCTCCCTGCTTGTTACCTGGCCAGGGAAGGGGGATATATCATTCCTTGGTGGTCCAGTGGCATGGAAAGTACAGAGGGGCCCGCAGCAAGCATTTCCTTACCTTCCCAGCAGCTCCCTTCTTCTGTGTAAATCTTGTGGCCAGCGTGCCACGGAGCGTTGCCATGGTAACCTGTGGCAACGCCCTAATGGCCTCGGGACTTGCGAAATTTACACAGAAGAGCTGAAGGGAGCTGCTGGGAAGGTAAGTAAATGCTTGCTGCGGGCCCCTCCAGGACCGCTGAGCTTGTAATGGGTCCGTTGGTCCTGTTATGTATTATCAGCAATATCGGTATTTCTATTGGCCGAGACCGATATTGCCAAAAATACAGAATATTGGCCGATAATATCGGCCAGACCGATAATCGGTCGATCCCTATTCAGGACTATGAGCCCTGCAATATACCTTGCCCAATGCACTTGAAAAGGCTCTGTTCATGTGAGTTATGTACTTTTGTTTTTGGCATAGGACCATGTGCACAGTCGGTCAAATAAATGACTTCCAGGAAATTCCTGAACCCCTGAACTGGTTTTGGTGATCAGAGGATGTAACATTTGTGGGGTTTTATGTATTTTAGGGTACTTTTGGGGTGTTTTGAAAAGGTATATATTTTTTCTTTTCTAGGAGATAATTGGATTAGAATTAGTACAGTTACTGATCCAATTATCTCCCAGGCAGAGGGGAGGGATTGTATGTTTACATATGGGAGTGTTGTGCATTTAAACTCTATTGTCATTGGTCTGTGACTTTGTATTATAGTTACCCACAAGGTCCATGTGGGAGTGCCCCTTGCATGGGGACTTACATATAAACTGAGTTGGTTTTACCCCTTCATGAAGTCTTGGCTCATATTCACTCCGGGGATTGCTATATCACAATACTGCCCTGAGTATAATCACTAGCTCTTTTAAATGCTGTTCCTGCTACGCTCTCTGGACTAGGAGAGGTCTACCCACTGAAAGCTGAATCCTGGTCTTGGGTCCAGGGTGGGTGAAGGACATCGAGATCCCCAACCAAACTGCGGCGGTTCGTGTGGATGTACGGTGGTTATGGTGCTCGCAAGTACTAGGAAGCAGCGATTGACGGAGGTACCCGGTCGGGGTGCCAGGTGGTCCGTCACATTGGTGGCAACAGTGGGACGGCTTCCTAGGCGTATAGAAGCATCCTAGGGACACCGGTATCATTGGATTTATAATTAAGGGCAACGCTAGTATTCGTACAGCGCCCTTATCTACAAAGGAACTCGGAAGATGAAGCGAACTAGTCTCCGGGCAGTGCTCACATACGAGGAGGAATTCCTTCGGGAGATGCAATGCCGATTGTCCTTTTTTGGCCCTGAGGTTCCGGTAAGGGTTGTCAGGGCCCTCAAGGTCCTAGTGACCAAGCACCTGCAGTACCAAGCAGAACGGGCAAGCGAGCGGGCACGGTGGGGGATACACACGCCCCAGCAGCAAAGAGAGTCACAGGGAGAGGAGATTGTTGGTTCCTCATCCCAGCAAGCATCCCTGGGAGTGGAGCTAGTCAAGAACTACAATCACTAGCTCTTATAAGAGCTGTTCCTGCTACGCTCTCTGGACTAGGAGAGGTCTATCCACTGGAAGCTGGATCCTGGGTCCAGGTTGGGTGGATGACGGCGAGATCCTCAACCAAGCTGCGGCAGTTCGTGGGACTTCAGATCTTCATACAGGCTATAATACAGTCCAAGTTTACACAAAATTCAGTTTTTAAATGATAATTGTCCACGTTCTAAACCAAAACTAAATCTAGAATTTTAATTATAGGTTTGTTCCTATAGGTCTTCAAGTGCCCCCAAACATATTATATATATATATATTTTAAAGGACAGAAAGGGGTATGTCAATCAAATGTTAAAAATAGGGAAAAAATATTATTATTTTTTTTACATGTATGCTTATAATAATTTTTATATATCCATTGCAACTACTTAAAATAACTCAAATTAGATTCATATATCAAAGATATTTGGTAAAGAGCGCAGGTAACTGTTTTCTTTGGTTTTTACTGTAAGTGTCATAATAAACTGCTGGGCAAAGAGTTCCATGCACCTCACTTTTGGACCGAACATCCGGGGAGAGCCTTTCAGTGATACACAGACGTGTTTCAATTTGGGCTACTACCAATGTATTAAGGCTCAGGCAAACGTATTTATAGACAGAAGTTACAGCAAAAGTAACATGACAAGATCACATCAGCTAAACAAGATATTGCTTATTCAGCAACCAACAACATGTATTTCTGTAACCAGAGGTTAAAAGGTTATTTCTTTGATTGCCTGCAACAGGTTTCACTTTAAGCTTACATTTAACAATTGCTATTTATAATAATGTAGTCTTGTCCATGTACAGTAGTCACATACTTAATTTTTAACCCTTTCGGTAAGTATTTGGGCTGATGTGTACTATGGTCATTGCTCCTGCCCAGGATTAATGGGAGTTTGATCGCAGGACTTGTTTATTTGTATTTATATTCATATATCAGTCCGATTGTTAAATGCTTAATATGTTTAGGATCTCAATAAATAGTTAACGCTAACCCTATACCAGCCTCCACACTAATGCTATAGAAACCACACTCCTTATTCAATGCTTACAACAGGGGTGTCCAAGGTTTTTTTCAAAGAGGGCCAGATTTGATGAAGTGAACATGCATGAGGGACAACCATTTTGCCTGACATTCTTTGAACCATTAAAATTAAATGCAAATTGACTATCTGTCTCTCTTTTTTCTGTCTTTTCTCTCTTTTATCCTGTTTCTCTTTTATTCTGTCTCTCTTTTTTACTGTCCCTTCTCTCATTTATTCTGTCTCTCTTTTTTTTTGTCCCTTCTCTCTTTTTTTCTGTCCCTTCTCTTTTTTCCTGTCCCTTCTCTCATTTTTCTGTCCCTTCCCTCTTTTATTCTGTCCCTTCTCTCTTTTATTCAGCCCCTTCATTCTCTGTCCCTTCTCTCTTTTATTCTGCTCCTTCTCTCTTTATTCTGTCCATTCATTCTGTCCCCTCTCTCTTTTATTCTGTTCCTTCATTCTGTCCCCTCTCTCTTTTATTCTGTCACTTCTCTCTTTTATTCAGCCCCTTCATTCTCTGTCCCTTCTCTCTTTTATTATGTCCCTTCATTATGTCCCTTGTCTCTTTTATTCAGCCCCTTCATTCTGTCACTTCTCTCTTTTATTCTGTCCCTTCATTCTGTCACTTCTCTCTTTTTTTCTGTCTCTCTTTATTCTGTCCCTTCTCTCTTTTATTCTGTCTTGCTTTTATTCTGTCTCTCTTCATTCTGTCCCTTCTCTCTTTTATTCTGTCCCATTTCTCTTTTATTCTGTCCCTTCATTCTGTCCCTTCTCTCTTTTATTCTGTCCCTTCATTCTGTCCCTTCTCTCTTTTATTCAGCCCCTTCGTTCTCTGTCCCTTCTCTCTTTTATTCTGCCCTTCTCTCTTTATTCTGTCCCTTCATTCTGTCCCCTCTCTATTTTATTCTGTTCCTTCATTCTATCCCTTCTCTCTTTTATTCTGTCCCTTCATTCTGTCCCTTCTCTCTTTTATTCTGTCACTTCTCTCTTTTATTCAGCCCATTCATTCTCTGTCCCTTCTCTCTTTTATTATGTCCCTTCAGTATGTCCCTTCTCTCTTTTATTCTGCCCTTTCATTCTGTCACTTCTCTCTTTTATTCTGCCCCTTCATTCTGTCACTTCTCTCTTTTATTCTGTCTCTCTTTATTCTGTCCCTTCTCTCTTTTATTCTGTCTCACTTTTATTCTGTCTCTCGTCATTCTGTCCCTTCTCTCTTTTATTCTGTCCCTTTTCTCTTTTATTCTGTCCCTTCTCTCTTTTATTCTGTCCCTTCATTCTGTCCCTTCTCTCTTTTATTCAGCCCCTTCATTCTGTCACTTCTCTCTTTTATTCTGCCCCTTCATTCTGTCCCTTCTCTCTTTTATTCTGTCACTTCTCTCTTTTATTCTGCCCCTTCTCTCTTTTATTCTGTCCCGTCTCTCTCTTTTATTCTGCCCCTTCATTCTGTCACTTCTCTCTTATATTCTGTCCCTTCTCTCTGTCACTTCTCTCTTTTATTCTGCCCCTTCATTTTGTCCCTTCTCTCTTTTATTCTGGCTCTCTTCATTCTGTCCCTTCTCTCTTTTATTCTGTCCCTTCATTCTGTCCCCTCTCTCTTTTATTCTGCCCCTTCACTTTGTCCCTTCTCTCTTTTATTCTGTCCATTCATTCTCTGCCCCTTCTCTCTTTTATTCTGCCCCTTCTCTCTCTTATTCTGCCCATTCATTTTGTCCCTTCTCTCTTTTATTCTGTCCCTACATTCTCTGCCCCTTCCCTCTTTTATTCTGCCCCTTCACTCTTTTATTCTGTCCATTTATTCTCTGCCCCTTCCCTCTTTTATTCTGCCCCTTCATTCGCTGCCCCCTCCCTCTTTTATTCTGCCCCTTCATAATCTGCCCCTTCCATGTTTTATTCTGCGCCGTCCCTCTTTTATTCTGCCCCTTCATTATCTGCCCCTTACCTCTTTTATTCTGCTTCTTCATTCTCTGCCTACAGGGAGAAGGAACCAAATCCTGCGACGTCGACGTCCAAGAGATCCCACGACGTCCTAAGACATCGCGAGAATGCAGACCGAGGACGAGCAGTGACTGCACTGCCTTCTCGCGATCTCTTGGCCCCCAGTGAATCCCTGTGCACCGCTCAGGACAGCGGCATTCAAAGATCCAGGGATCCTGAGCAGCGCTCGGG